ATAATACGAATTAATTTGAAAATATCTGATGAGGCTACAACTTCGGGACTGAAATTGACGACCATAATGGGTTCAGAAATCGAAATTAGGTGCATGGATATGCTAATGGGAATTTTTAGAACCATTTGGGATGTTTAATTGAAAACTGGTTTCGTCTGATTTCCTAATTTTAATAGGATGGAATTAAATAATTGTATAGGAATTAGAGCTTAATACACATTAGTATAATTTAATTTAGTGTAATTGAGATTTTATTGTGATGAGAATTAATTTAATTTGCGTAGCTTTGATTTTTATTTAACTTAATTAGAATGATTTAACTTAATTAGAATGATTTAACTTAATTAGAATGATTTAACTTAATTAGAATGATTTAACTTAATTAGAATGATTTAACTTAATTAGAATGATTTAACTTAATTAGAATGATTTAACTTAATTAGAATGATTTAACTTAATTAGAATGATTTAACTTAATTAGAATGATTTAACTTAATTAGAATGAATTAGTAATGACAATAACCATGTAGACCACTACTCAGTATGTGAGATAGGAAGAGAGAGAGTGTTTGGTTGCTTATTATAGTGAGTTGTTTATTATATTGAGTCTTTCATTTCATATACCAAACAAGACCCACGAAGAGAGAGAGAGAGTGAGGAAAGAAATAGCCATAGAGCTTGAGGTCAAGAAGAATTGAAGGAAGAAGAAAGAAGGGGATTAATTCATGCGCATTAAATCATCAAATTAAGGTAATTTCTATCTCCTAATTCATAAAATTGAAATGATACACTGTTAATTCATAGAATCTAGGTTCAAATAGGAAGATCATAAGCTTAATTGAGTTGAATTTATAATTAATTAGAAGATTTGCCCATGTAATTAAGAGCTTAGGACATGCATGTTTGCAAATGGGTAGAATTGTTCAAATTAACTCCTAATCTTTACATGCATGATATATTTTTTATTCTATACTTGTTCTCGTACATGATTCATGGAGTTTAAGGAGAAATTAAGCATGAATTAGAGCTTGGGTTCAAGAAAATTGATGTTTCATGAAATTGAGTTTCAAAAATGGAAAAATAGGTTTAATTTGATATTTAGAGCCTTATAAGAATTCAATTAAAGCTTTGATTTAGGTTCATAAAATTAGATATAGTCAAATTAAGCCTTAATTGAAAATTAATTAAATTCAATTGAAACTGAGTTAGGCTTAAGATTATGGAAATAAATGTGAAGATTAATTATTTGGTCCTTGATTTGCTTGAAAATGGAGTTGAAATTGCAAAATGTACATATTTATGAGTTTTTGATTCAGTAATTTAAACATGACTGAATAATTGTAATTTAATATGTATGAGCCTAATTTAAGTTTAATTGTGTAATTAGTGAACTTAATAAGGGTTGGCATATGATTAGATTATTTATATTTAATTAGTTTGGTTAATACACAACTAAACATGCTTTAATTAGAGATTAAAGGAATCAGTTGCTTGGTGGTAGCTGCATCTTGCACCTTATCAAGTAACTTGTATGGGTTTTCGTAGTTGTCTTCATTTCTTTCCGTTTTATGGTGTCATTGTAACTCTAGTTTTTTCTCTATTTCCTACCTCTACAGGCTGTGTAGGGAGTTTTATTTTTGTTTTGCTTCGGTTGGTAGGGTGAATAGGATTCAATTGGTTGCTGAATCCTGTTCTGGTTTGTATAGCTATTTTGGGTGCAGGTGCTGTTAAGTGGCTGCCTTGTTTTGATATATATGGCTGGTTCTTATTGTTGTCTACATAGTGTTGGTTTCTTAGCCTTAGTTTGTGTTATAGTTTGTTTTTCATTTGTTTTGTTTGTGTTGGTGGTTTGTATAGTTGTAGTAGGGCTTGGGGCATGCCCCTTGTAAATTTGTAATTTTCCTGCTTTATTTTATGTCTTATTCACCCAAAAAAAAAGAGATTAAAGGAAATTAATAATCTAATTAATTCATAATTCTAGTCATTTATATTTAAAAGCTTAAGTGAACTAAATATGTTTAAGATGATTGTGTATCGTGCTATGCATATTTGTGATTGTAGGTCATGAGTCAAGGACTGCTTGACCAACCGTTCTGGAAGCCCCCTGTGAGTAGCATTTCTGTAAAGATATGTTGATATAAATTATGTTTTAATTGTTATCGATAAGCTATGGTTTCTTGAAATGCTATCTTGATTATGTGAATGAATGTCCTATTTGTGAATCTATTACGGTATCCACAAATAGTCTCAAGTCATGGGGGGACGACATGTAAATGCGGGTCCATGACATATATGTGATACGAGATCTCGTTAGCCACTTCATTGTGGTGATATGTGTTTAATCGGTATCCGGAACCGATTACTCTAGTCGAAAGACATATGTGATATGTTTTGTGGGATGTACCATTATGTTATGTTCTGATATGAGACAGATATGAATGATTGTGTCATGATTTGTTTTACGGATATGATATATTTGGAATTCGTTCACTAACCCCTTTACTTTAATGTTATTCACTGGGCTTTAGCTCACTGTTTATATATATATATATATATACATGTATAGGTAAGCGTTCTGGAGGACAAGTCTAGAAGGAGTCTTTAGCAAGCCATCGTTTTGAAGCCTACCGCATGGTTTTGAGTGCCTCAGAGTTTAGGCTAGGCCTAGAAGGCCTTTGTCAAGCTTTTGATTGTGAAGCACACTTTTGTTATGTGCATATGTTATGTATAAGATGTTAAGTTATAAATTATGTACTACATATGGGTAAATTAACATTTTTGTATGTAAATATTTGTTCATATAGATGCACAACTCATTGGGCCATTGGTGTTTTTGAATATTGCTTCCGCTAGCCCCGATTATTTATGATTGTACAGGAAGACCTTTGGTAATCTCAGATTACTAGCCAGTTACGACACCAAACTTATAGGGGCGTGTTTGGGTCGTGGCATTAGTTTTCTCCCTTATGTATAATTTTCTCAAACATGTCCAATTTTTTCTAGCGTGTTTAATTTTTTCTAGGATTTAATGTTGACATCTTTATGTTTTCATCATTGTCTAGAAATGATAAAACATAAAAGCAGCAAGACACTAGAAACACCAATAAAGAAACAAAGGCTCTGTTTGGTAGAGTTTTGAAACTTTAGTTTCATCCTTTGGTTTGCACGTGATATTTGTTTACAATTTTAAAAAATTAATTTCACACTCACTTTTGAAAACTCTATCAAAGGCGGAAAAATTTGGGTTAACCGGTCGTCCTCCCGGTTGACCGTAACAGTGCATATATATATATATATATTTTCACAATTACCACCTGTTATTTTTTATATTTTAAATAAAAAAATTTCGAAATTTTTTAAAATTTTTTATGAGTTTTGAATAGAATTTTGAATTGTGTGTTTTGTTATGAGTTGTAAGTTTTGTATCAAATATCATATGTCACATCAAAAATTACTCACTCAATTCAAAACTCTTTTCAAAACTTATTCACTAAACAAATTTTTCACATTTAAATTATAATTCTAAAATTTACAAATTTAAAATACAACTCCTATTATCAAATTATATTAAAAAAACTTTACTAAATGCTACTAAAGCTTTTTCTTTGAAAGTACGAAAGTTAAAGATGTCAATATAGGACGAAATTCAAAGGTCAAAGGCGCCGAAAAAGGACCTAAGCCATCCTTTGAAATACTCACCACAATGCTTGACAGGTCCAAAACCATCATTGGAAGATAGAAGGCGTTGATTGAGGACAAAAATCTTACTTCGAAACTGTAAAAGCTACATACTTCGAAGGCTTACGATACTTTGAAAGTGTAAAATGAGTAATATTAGGGATTATGAAAAAAATATCATAAAAATAATTATGAAAATTTTTTTATTTTTAGATTACACATGTAATAAAACGTCACATACTAATCAAAGAATGAAAAACCTTTATAATGCATTTCATGATATTTTTTATGATTCCTAACATTACTCGTGTAACATCCATGTGCTCCAAAGTTTCGAATGTGCAAATATTTAGAATATTGTGCAATTTTATATTTTTAAACATGTGGTTTTGCATGTATGCAAAACCAATTACAGCAAATCTACATGTGGCTAACTAGGTAATAGCCAACTAAATGGCCATACCAATTACACAAACACATGCTCATAAGCTATGAATGTCTAATTTTCAGAAGCTTTTTTTTTTTTTTTCTTTTTCTTTTTTCTCTTTTGGCCAATCTTAAACTTATATTAACCATTAGTTTTCACAGAGGCATGAAAGTAACCACCAACCTTGTTACTTAATTGGCCATTCCATTTTCATGCTTCCCATTGTAGGAATTCACCAAGTATGCGTACTGAATTTTGATTTCTTGTTAACCACTTCATCAAAATCAAATTTTGAAGTCATCCACAAATTCAAAATAAAATTTGAACAATAAAAGTCATTACATAAAGAAATTCATATACCTTGATAACTAGAACAATTTCAAAAAATTCGTACTCATGAACATTGGGTTTTTTCATTATTCTTAGCCATGCTTGGCTTGAGAGTATATTTTTCAGCCACTCGAGTTTCATCATTTATTGGCCTAATGGGCTATTTTTCTATTTTAGCCAAAAAAAGGCTTATGAAAATGCTCCATAAGCATGTTATTTCCATGGTTTGACTATCTAAAAATGAATTTTTCAACCCCCTAAACCTTATATAGAACATTATTTTTAACCATGCTTGGTTCAACAATATGTTCTTTAGCCATATTATTTTCATAAGTTGGTTCCTTAACAATGGGTTTTCCGACCCCCCAATCCATTGATGAAATCGGCTCTTTCTCACTTTCAACCATTAATGACTTAGAAAAAGTGTGAAAAAAACTAACCAATTCTAGCCATTAAAAACTTGATTAAAGACTTCATGGCGAGAGTTAAAAACTCATTTCTCCATCATGAATTTTCATATCAAGTTGACAAATTTCTTAAAACAATTGATAGTTTGATTCCTCAACTCAATTAGTAGTACCTCTAGAGCCTACTTCTTCAAGTTGATGAATTTTTCCAATTAAATGGTATTTTTTTTCTTCCATCAAATAACTAGCCTATCACCCGTGCTATGCACGGGATAATTATAGATATTTATATTTGTTTTAGATTTTTTTTAATATATAAATTATGTTTTTTAAGATTTTTTTATAAAAATAAGTTAACAGTCTTATCACTAACCATAGTGTATGAGAGAATTTGAAAAGGGTACTACAGTAACTATACACGGATTGTATCTATAATTATTTGTATGAAGGGATTTTAAATGCTGATTAGGAGATTTTGACCAAATCAATAAATGCATGCATGTGGAAAGACATGTGGATTGAAAAAATTTAATAAATGCTGATCAGAGTATTTTGACCAAATCAATAAATGCTGAGATTTTTTTTTTAAATAAAAAATAAAAAATTTAGAAAATTTAGATTGAGATATTGAAGCTCCCACAGGCTTTGGGGGTTAAAAACCTCATTTTGCTTAATATATAGTATAGATATTGTAATGGATGAAAATTTGTTTCATAAAAAAAAAATAGATCTCTTCTTGAAGATCCAAAAATTTTTGTTTACGCCAAATGATTTCATCTACGCTATTTGGAATGGATGCATCCAATTCATTTTTTATTTATTACACTTGACATCCCACTCGGCGTACCAAAATATATATGTTAGCTATTTTGACACTTAAAGGGATAAAAATGTAATTTTCGAGTGCCAATAAGGATCTGAAAAGTCCTTAAAAAATTTTATAAGTCAATTCACTTATCATACGATTCTGATGAGTTTCTATTAACCTCAGTGAAGAAAATTTTATTGGTTGTGTTTTAGTAAGAATCAATGCAATGTAACTTGAACTCAACAAAATGGGAGGGAGAAACTGGTTAGAAAATGTAATTGATTAATTAAATAATGTAGTTACAAAATGTTACCTTTAATAAGGACAATTTCGAAGCTTAAGTTCTAAAATACAAGAGTTAATTATTAATTCTTTGAAAAATAAGTGTAGTTTTGAAATGTGAAGATAATTGAAACAATAAGGACGGATTTGTCCTTCCATGATCTCTCAACTCCTCTACTTCATGCTCCATAATAATCCTTCATCTCCTCCATTTATGCTCCATTATCTTTCACTTTTTCATCATCTTTTCCACATGTATTTCATAACTTCCATCGACCTCCAAGTATATAGGAATTCAATATGCTATGTGTCTTACTTACATTAATAATAATAAAAATAATATGGCACCAATAATAATTTTCTCTATTTTAGAGCAATTTTTTTTTTAAAGTTTATAAAATATATTTTTGAAGTATTTATTTTTAGGATAAATTACAAACACATATATATGCTATGTGTCTTACTTACATTAATAATAATAAAAATAATATGGCACCAATAATAATTTTCTCTATTTTAGAGCAATTTTTTTTTTTTAAAGTTTATAAAATATATTTTTGAAGTATTTATTTTTAGGATAAATTACAAACACATATCATGTGATTTACTTAAAATATAGATTGCCTCTTGCGGTCTGAAAAATTACAAATATCTCATTGTAAGAACTTTTATTTAACAGAATTAATTGAAAAAATAAAATTTGTAACTACTCTCCCATACAATAATAAAATTATTTGAATTATTAATTGAAATATATTTTTGATATCATTAAAATTATCTAGGACAATTCATATTTTAAGCAAATCTCAAGAGATATATTTGTAATTTACCTTTATTTTTATAATATTAATTCTAAATGTTTTTTTTTTAAAAAATAAAACTAAAAATATTCACCCTGTTTGGTTTTCAGTTTTCAAAAACAGTTTTTTGAGTTTTCAGTTCATATTTTTATATTTTTAATGATTTTTTAAAATTTAATTAATTTTTAGATTCACTTAATATTAATATACTTAAACAATAAAAACAATTGTACAAAATTGAATATAATAAAGTTAAGGTCCCTAATATTATGATTTTAGCGGATAAAGGACACCCAAAAAAAATTGTAGTAACTCAGGTCCCTCGAAAAAAAAAGGCATATGTTGTTTCTAGTTTTTGGACCAAAATAGCCACACATTTATCTTCTCTCCCCGCAATCAATATAGAAAAATGGTTTCCATTTTCTCTAGCTATTGATCGTTTGCACAATCCAGTTTATCTTCTCTGCAATCAAGTTCATCATCTTCATGATTGACAGAGAAAATCTCTTTTATTCTCCATGGTCGACAACGAAAATCTTTGTCATTCTTCATTTAGTTTCGTAATTTCTCTGACGCATTTTTACCCTTGATTTCAGTTTAACTTTATCTTCATCTCCGTTCAGAGTTAGGGTTTCATCCTCACCACCTAACTCTGGTAAGTTTTTCAATTGATCAACTAGTTTTTCTTTGGATTTACAATTGATTGCGTTTTATATTCAGCCTTGGTGAAATTAGGGTTTCAATTTCACAATAATGGTTATTCATTACAATGTGATCATTGCGATTGATTATCTCAAAACCTAGACCATATTTCTGTGCGATAGCTAGAGAAATTTGTAAAAATGAAATTTCCATGTCATTTTACTGAAAATTTATAAAAGCATCAAAACCTTATTTTAGTTGATTTTCCTTGTCCAAAGCCTTAGGCAAATTTCTCTATCTTTATAGACAAATTTGTGAAAGTATCACTTCTTGATCAGTTGATTTTGTTTCCCTAAAAACCTTTGTGAAATTTCTGTGTGATGGCCAAAGAAATTTGCAAAAATGAAATTTCTCTTCCACTTTAGAGAAATTTGTGAAA